TAGGACCAGTCTGGCCCAGTTCTTGGTTTGCCTGGCCACTGGATCAGCGAGCCACCTCAGAGTCCTGTCATTGGGGATCTCATATGTCAGATATCAGTAGGTATAAGTGAATAATTATGCCTACATGGACAGACACAGATAAATAATGATGGAAATGTCAATAGCAATGCAAAGGCACTCCTATACACGCGTATATGGCAGGCATCATTTTGATGGAGATGATTATTGGCACTAGCATCATTTTTTACCATCGAGTATCTTTTGCGGCTTGGACCTGCAAAAAAGAGGAATATAAACAAGCAAAATCACCCCCACGAACAGAAATTGTTTTCTCATGCACAACTTCTGAACCTACTGGAGCAAGGTGGTGGGACGGTTCTATGCATGACCTTGACCAGGACCATGCCACTCAGACCACTCCCATAGTGTGAAGGGAGTGTTCTGAAGTTTTGTGAAGAACGCTTTTTCCCCTCATTTTCTTTGGCTGCTGCGGAACGTGAGTCTCACAATGACCGACACGGAAGGTAAGCAACTTGACCCAACTGAGTTTATTCACACTCGGCTCTTTGCGTCTGCATCGGGAGAGCTTACAGACTTGGGGAAGTCTCTAGTTGCCATTTTCCCCTCACTCCAATGTGCAACTCTCCCGCTCCCGTCAATCCGGTCGAATCTCGTTCGTGACATTTTCAACAACCAAGACAAGCTCAATCCAAAATTCAATAGCAAAGTCGATACACTGATTCAGCAAATCATCCTGAAAATCACTCCAAGAAAGCTGTCGATGGCGCTATTAGAGTGACTGGAAAGGCTCTGGCTGCTCTAGGTGTACGTTACGTTGAAGCAGTCAACGGGCCAGGTGCCCTACCAGACCTTGACCAGGGCTGGCAGGCTGTAGTAACGCTGGAGTTAAAGCAATACTCTTACAGGCTTGTTCGGGGGTATGAGGCAGAAAAGGAGAAAGCCTTGGAAGAAAAGCTTCCGGTTGAAGAAAAGTGTCTCTTGTGCATTCACCATGAGATACTTAGCGAAAAGAAGAGTTTTCTCAAGAAAAAATCTGCCGCATCAACCCTCTTCACTCCAGCGATGAAGACGCCAAACCGTTACTCGATCGATTGGAGCAAGACATTGTGCAGTGGAATAAACAAAGTGAAAATGAAGAACCCAAAGTCATTGGGGGTTCTCTGCTCCAGTTTACTACTCTTAACTTCTTGAAATCAAAGCAACACTGTGAGAACCTACTCCTGCAGCTTATGGTAAACAGTTACATTCAACATAATGTCAGTGAAGCTTTACGGAATTCACAACCACTCAATATCGAGATCAAAGTTGAGGAAATGATTGTGCAATACAAAGAAAGTGCCATAGGACCAGCTGCTGGATAAATTTTAGATAAAGGCCTTTCAGAAATAGCTCAGCTCCGAAGCGTACTCAAGAAGATACCGGGAAAGCCAAGAGATGTGTGGATCATCGGACAAGCAAACTAAGTTGGGTGCCTCCAGAGCACAACACGGAAGAGGGTGGTGATCTAACTGATGACTGATACATTTATTATTGTTGTAACATGTTTAATTGCAGTAGGATGTTACATGTCCAAACACCCAGTTAATGTTAACGCATCAAGCCCCGTGCGGCTGCAAACCAGTAGAATGTTAATAATTGCCTATGGTCAGGGTTTCTTACAGAATCTGAAAGAATAATATATTATAGTGATGTCACACACAACACAAGCGACTATTGGATGATTTATATATACTGTTGATGGGCATGAACTACATGAAAATATTATAACATCTGTGCAGCTGTGCTCTGCCTATTAGCTATTGGAACTACCCTCCACAACACACACAGATGCATTTTCGTTGGATGTTTGATTGTTCCTTGAAGGGAATGAGCCACACCCAGCTGTTTTACTGGGACAACCCGTCAAAGGGGCGAAGCAAGCTTTGGTCCGCCTTCAGAAAGTAAAAATTATCAAGTGGGCAGTGCTCGCGTACAAGATACTACTGTGGTAAGAACAGCTCCATTTTCAAAATGGCAGGACATGCCGCACATACAAAAACAATACACAAAAGCATGAGAGACAATGTGAGTTTCAAAGGTTTCGGAGTAGAAGTCAGCCTTGTCCTTGACGGGTCCACATCGAGCGAGAACCGGAGAGATGGCATCCAAGACTCTGAAGGTGGAGAGACTGTTGGTACCCCAAGAGCCGATGGATCCCACCACTAGCGCCAGAACAGAAGTCTTGAGGCCCAGGAATATTATAATAATGAGTTCGCTCCAAGGGCGACCACAACATTATTAAAAAAAAAGGGTTTAGCTGTGCTTAAAATCCACAAACACTGAGGCCAATAAATTTGGCTATGAATCTCTGGGATTTTGTTAGACCCATCGATAACAACCTTCTCATGCGCACATGTCCAAGTGATGCATAGCTCGTTGACCATTAGCTCAGTGTGGGGTATGTGATGTCCAGACCTGCAGCTAGTGTTTGATTTATTTTTGCCTTGCGTGTAGTTTTTGTTACTTTTGCTAGAAACTACAATGTTTATCTGTTAGTTGTAAAACTAACAGCTAACCATTACATAAGAGTGAGCACAAACCACAAAGGACGTCCAACAAAGAGGCAAAGAGACAGTAATGATGTTGATGGTGGTCATTTCACTCAGTCTCCTCTGGTTCCTGGTGGAGGTCAACTCTCAGCCGATGTTTCCTTATGTCTTCTTCATGGGCTGGCCTCTGGCCAACCACTCCTATGTGAACTTTAGCCTAATAGGGAGAACTGAAATTGAGAGTGTTCAGTGTCACACTGACCTGAGCACATGCTGCAGCAAAGAGCAGGGTAACCATCGTGGTGACTGGTACTTCCCTAATGGAAACCGACTGCCATTTGATGGAGCCAATGATATTCACCAGCATCATGACTATCAGAGAGTTGACCTACGTCGCACAAGTTCCACCTCACCATCTGGCATGTATCAATGTGACATTGCAACTTTTTATGATAACACAACCACTCAATTGACTCGAAGCAGGGTGTATGTGGGATTGTATGCAAATGGAGGTTTGTATAGATAATGTAGAAGCGTGTGATTTTTTATCAATTTTACAGGAGATGTGTTCATATTTGGTGGTGTTACACTGACTGTGGACTTAGATGGCTCCAGTCCTCAGTTTACCCTCAGCTGTATCTCCACTGGTGGACCTGCTAACACTGTCACTTGGACCAGAGACTCCACCACTGTCACCCACGGAAATGAGACCGTTTTAGTCAATGCAACCACGGTAGAATACATCCATACTCTGAAAGTGACAGGGAGAATGGAAGGAAGGTACACATGTACTGTGGCTAACAACAAACCATCAAACGGATCAGCATCTCGTGAATGTGAGGCTGCAAGCAACTTTACAATAATCTGTTATTGATTCTTTTGTGTTTATTCCCAGTTCCTGACCAGCCAATAATATTTCTCGTGGGAAAATCTCCCAACTCTCTTAACTGGAATGTTTCATCTGCAGCTCCAAATGTGACCAAGACTTTTGCGACTTCCTACTCCATCGCTATCAGTTGGGAGTTGGTGCCTTGTGAACATCAGAACGGAGAGATAACTGGCTACTCAGTGAGATATGGAGAGATTGGGACCAACGTGACAGACATGACAGTACTGAATATTACTGGAGCCAGTTTAACTGAGGCTACCATTTCTAACCTGATGCTGTCTACTAACTACTCAATTCAAGTTGCAGCAGTCAACAGTGCTGGTACTGGAGTGTTCAGTAATGCCACTCTGGTAAAGACAGTCGAACAAAGTCAGTTTTTTACCTAGGTTTGAGAAATCATAATGTGTGAACTGGCCTATTTTATTATACCTACCTTCAGGTGTATATCTCACCTTTAGACCGCAGTCACGCGCAATTGACCAATCAGATTACAGAATTGCGGGGGGTTTATTTTTCATAGACACCTCGTTTCAGGTGTCTAATGGCGTTTGCAGGTGGTCTACAGCAAACTCCCCGTACAAAATGGCTATTCTAAAAAGTCGTTATCTGCGCAAACCGGCCGATTCCGCGTTCGGTATATGTAAGCGTAGAGCGCGACTGGCAAAGTAGCTCTTTTAAAATGCGTAGTGCACCTGCAAGAAGTCTGTGGACAGTCTCCGGAGCTCGCGAAAGTCAGAAATCACGTCAATATTCCACGAAAAAAGCGTCGGCTTCTTCAGCTCTGGCGATATACACAAACACATTGGGCCGTTGCCGTGCGTTGCTAACCCTTTCAAACGCGCACCACCATGAGGGCGTTTTATGATGACGTAAACGATTTTTGACGGGGGGCGGGGGCTGTCTCCTCGGAGTCTCACACGTAAAAAAGCGTCTTGTTCCATCCGAAGGTAAGGAATGAGGAATGAGGAATGAGCACAGCGTTGCTAGCTTGTTGCTACCCATTTGAACGCGCAAACACCAATCAGATACTCCGGTCTAAACCGGTTAGACGCGGAAGCTCGGTTGTCTACGCAACATTGCAACCCTCGGGGCATGTGGGTAGCGCCCTCGCTGCGCTCGGGACGCCAACATTCCACAGCCCCTCGGGTTGCAATGTAGCGTAGACACCTCGCTTCCGCGTCTAACCTATATTTAGACAAACAATAATACCTGACTATGGCGTTGGAAGTGTGTTTATTTCTGCAGCTCCATCTGCAGCTCCAAATGTGACCAAGACTTTTGCGACTTCCTACTCCATCACTATCAATTGGGAGTTCTTGGTGCCTTGTGAACATATCAATGAAGATATTATTACTGGCTACTCAGTGAGATATAGAGAGATGGGGAACAACATGGCAGACACGACTGTGCTGAATATTACTGGAGCCAGTGTAACTGAGGCTACCATCTCTAACCTGAACTTGTCTACTAACTACTCAATTCAAGTTGCAGCAGTCAACGGTGCTGGTACTGGAGTGTTCAGTAATGCCGCTCTCGTAATGACTGTCGAAAAAAGTAAGTTTTAATCTAGTTTTATAAATAAATAAAATGTGAACTGACCTATAATTATGTTACCTACCTTCAGGTGTACATCTAACTTTTAGACAAGGAGTAATCCCCAACAATAGCTATGTGATACTGGATGACATTGGCTACACTAATGACACTGCTCTACTGTGTCATACCAACTACCCTCCTCCTCCCGGCAATAAAACCTCTGGAGGAAACTGGTTTGTTCCAAATGGGAGGAGAGTAGGTCACAATGAGCCTAGTGATCTAGGGTTTGTGAGAAACAGAGGTCCTCATGTGGTGAGACTGAAGAGATCAACTCCTGGTACTCCACTTGAGGGGATATACAGGTGTGTGATTCAGGACACCACAAAGAAAAATCAAAGAGTTTATGTGGGACTCTATGCTTTAAATGGTATGTGATACAAATTTTTTTACTTAAACTTATGATCCTGCAACAATTTTCAGAGACAAGCACTTCTTCAACCTTCTCTTCTTTCAATGCATCTGAAAACTCTGTCATTTCTACCAGCTCTATCCTTAAATACAGTGTATAATTATACTGCCTTTTCAGGGCAGAGTCATGGAAAAACATTACCCATAGCTAACTCTAAGAGAACTAACAGTTACTTACCTCCAACCGCAACTGCTCTCTACACCTCTCCAGCTTCAACCATCTCTACTTCCAGCAGTGGAGGAATGTTCTCTGGGCCAACCCCAACTCCATCCATCTCTAGTATGAGAATCTCCTCCAAGCCAACTCTTACTCCAGCTGCTGAAGAAGAAGAAGATTCTTATACTTCAACCCCTAATTATGGGTTAATTGTAATGATTATAAGTGCGACTAATTAAGTACTCCGACCCAACAGGTCTACTGATGATGGCTGGTTGTCTACTGTGGCTATAACAATTGGAGTTATTGTAGCAACTGTTATAGTATCTCTCAGTGTTATTGGTCTGTTGTGTCTCAAAGGTATATTATTGTTCAAAACACAGGAACAATTCTGAAGGTTTTTCTTACCTTTTAACAGGTTGTAAAGATCGAGGCACAAGTATCCACACTTCAACCAATGAGGCATATGGGGAGGTGAGGGGGAAAGGAGGAATTGCAGTCAGCCGCATCCCAACCTCAACCAATGAGGCATATGGAACAGTGAGAGATAGAGGAGGGGTCCATATTACAACCTCTACCAATGAGGCAGCTGGGGAAGGAGATGGATACGAACTGGTGAATTTCCTTTGCAGAAAATCACCTCTTCTTCCAGCTGGTATATAAACTATAGAAGATGTGTGAAGTTCCATTTTACTTCTTCTCCACAATCCATTCTGCTATATAGGTGCAGAGGAGGACGCCGTATATGAAGTCATTTCTTGAGACCAGTGACTGCACTCATGTGCTTTTGTTCATGTAGCTTATTGGCTAGAGTTAGTGAGATAGTGCCCTTTAATAATAGTGTATACAGTGGTCAAATTCTACTGTTACAATTATGTGCAATTGACCAGATCAAAAAGGTGGCATAAAATAGACAAAGTATTATATGGATTTTGTGTTCAAAGTTAATGTCCCGAAAAGAAAGACCGTTGTATGTGTCTTAGCTGTGATTGAAGAAATAATTTTGCACTTGGGTTCCCCAAATAGTTCGGAACGGCAATAGGTTAAAAGATGTTTAAAATTTGTGTGGCGACACACATGTTGTTGTTCGATCAGAGGTAGGTAACCCCCAGTTCTAAAGCTTCCACCACACCTATCTCAATGTGTGTGGTCAGGTGATGTACTTTTTGCCTTGTGTACTGTTGCTATGTTTATCTAAAGCAAACAATCTGTGTAAATAATCATCACATAAAACAACATGACGTAGTGAGGTAAAATTAATGTAGCTACACAAATGTACTTTTTCTTCAGAGGTAGGTAACCTACAAAGCTTCCACCACACTTATCTCTCTCTATTATTGTGTGTGGTCAGGTGATTTACTTTGCCTTGTGTACTTTTTGCTATCCAATAGGTAATCATCACATAAAACAACACGATAATAGCGAGCTAAAGGTCAAACACACTATGTGTAGATGTTTGTGGTGGTTACTGGTCAACATTATAATAAAGTTGACACAAAGCATTTGGCTACTTATATTTCAATACAATACATTTTCCATATTGATAGGGATAATTATTGTTATTAGAGAGTCGGTAGACTCTCTATATAGGGATGACGCGGGTGAAATCTCACGTGATCCGCGTACAAAACTACTAAAAACTCAGTGAGAATCACTCCCTAGGCCTTCAAAGCATACTAGCAATAGTCTACGGGCCCATATCTACCTATACATGTCCCCCAAGAGCTCATATACGCACCTTCAGTCGTCCAGGCGAGAATTCGCTCATACGCATTTTCACGATTTTGTGTCATCATATCTCTTCTTCTTCTTCTTTAAACCCCGCTATCCTCCTTACCAGTACCAGTTCAAGCACTGATTTTTTCACCGAAGGTCTTCAATTTCGCCGGAGGTGTGTACGGACATCAAGCGATCGTTTCTTCTTGCTGCTAGTCACTAGGGTAGATCATGGAGCTCTTCCATGGTCGACCTGAATAACGCCATTTGCTGCTTACTCAGCATCAGTGAGCCGCGCGCATGCGCCAGGCATGGCGCGTGTCAAATGCGGCTAGCGAGCGTATTACCAGGCGAGCGAGTTGGCAGACCTGCAGATGAACTCTCAGGCCTCCAGTTACCGTCTGTAAGTAAGTGTGCACATTTCCAACGGCTGTTGATTTGCCCGAAGAGCAACTTGCCAAGTCTGCGCGGTGTTACGCGAGCCTTGCGGGGCGCTCCGTCAAATGGGCCTTCATTGTTTTGCCTGATTACCAAAGCCTGCCAATGAAACCACAACTATGCATATATCTAAGTTCATCCTTGTTGAAGACAATACATGAGGTGAATACGATATCTAGCCCCTGCTTCAGGCACTAGCAGCCCCATTAGCTACTACTTTCAACAGTTACAATTTGTCTATGGTAGCCTATCTACAACATAGCTACATCAGAGTGACTGTAACAATATTAATGCAGTGTTGGTCATAAGCTGTTTAAAAATAGTGGAAACAAGTGGAAAAGTCATTCTTCAAAATGAAGGGGGATATAGGGATGGCTTGAAGCACGAAAAAGGAAGAAACAAGGGGTCATTACACAGCAAAGTTGCACAAAGCTACATGACACCATCCCTATATCTTTGTTGTTATACGGCTCTGCAATAGAGGTTTTCTTGCATGTATACTTAGCTCAGGGGAAACTTTGCTTATAAACAATAAAACAAAGATATAGGGATGGTGTCAGTAGCTTTGTGCAACTTTGCTGTGTAATGACCCCTTGTTTCTCTCTTCTTTTTCGTGCTTCAAAGCCATCCCTATATCCCCCTTCATTTTTGAAGAAATGATTTTTCCACTGTAATATACTGTTGGTTCAAATTTGCTATAACTCGGATTACTCGCCAAGTAAATAAAGAGGCACCAACTCCTTTTTGTAGATTTTTTCCTTACATAAGGCAACTCTGATTGTAACAAACAAAAACATAGTCAGCATGCACAGCAATATCGCTACTGAGTGAAGCATATACATGATGTGCAAATCACATGCACAATTCGACTTGGACAACCATCATACGCAATTATACAAACAAACCCAAAGCTTTACCCCACCTCAATGTGTTCAGATCTTGTGATTACTTTTGCCTTGTGTACCATTAGCCAATAACCACAGTGTTGGTCTGGTAATAAAACAAACAACCTCATAAAAAAGAGCACAGGCCACAAACTCATGCAACCATAGAATAAGTTACGATGTTGATGGTGGTCATTTCCCTCAGTCTCCTCTTGTCCCTGGTGGAAGGTCAACCTCAGCAGACTCCTTATGTCTCCTTCAATGGGGAGACACTGGCCAACCACTCCTATCTGAACTTCAGCCACACAGGATATGAGCTATCTGGAGATAATAGCGTTCAGTGTCACACTGACCTGAGAACATGCTGCAGCAGTGGGCAAGGTATGGCATCGTGGTGACTGGTACTTTCCCTAATGGACAACCGACTGCATTTGATGGAACCAATGATATTCACCAGTCATCGGGACTATCGGAGAGTTGACCTACTACGTCGTCAAATAATTTTTGCTGATTCTTTTGTCTTTTTCCCAGTTCTGGCCAAGCAATAATATTTCTTGTGGGAAATCTCCCAACTCTCTTACCTTTACTTGGAATGTTTCAAACACAACAGATGCTATTACCTCTTACACAGTAAATGGTTGAATGGGAGAAGCCGTACGCCACTCCCAGTAAAACCACAGGGCGCCGCCTATCCATCTTATACAACGAGAGAAACCGAAGGAGCGCATATCACAGTACGCCAGAATGGGTCTCACACATTCGAGTTTGAAAATGAGGCGGCCAGCAGATCAGAAGAAATATGAGAAAGTTAAACTAAAGAGCTGCTTACCATTGACTAATAAAAATCAATGCTGCAAATGTGGTAGTTAGGGTGTCGTTGTCCCTCATAAAACTGCTGGTCGTGCACTGATTTACTGAAACGAAGGGTGTGACTTTTTATATCAGTGCAAGGCAAACCAACTGGCTATTTCACACTACTAGCTATGATAAGAAAAAGCTTTGTCCTTGGTGCCATAGAGGTATTTGCCTTCCACCTGCCTTGCTTGCTTGCCTGGCTATATATGTTGTGTCTTTTGCATAATGAATTATAAAACTTCCTTTCTTCACACATTAGCTAAGAACAAAATTACCGTTATGAAAATGACAGCATCTAAGTCCAAGTAGCATGACGACGATCTGCCAACATGAAATATATTACTAAAGCTTGTTGCTAGACCAAGTAGTCCAAACGGTAGCTAAAATCAAACACTGTAGACAATGCAATCACCGAGTCCGTTAGAATTTACCTAAACTGATTCGGCTCTACCAGCAAACGGCGTGTACAGCCAAATTGCCTGCTAAGAGAGCAACCGTCGCGTTGGTATATAGACGTCCTGTACAGCGCATGCGTTGGTTTACTGCGCATGCGCTGTTCCCGGATCGCCATCGCTGCTGGCAGCCGGCGACAGCGACTTAGTGAAATGGCGTGGTTATTTGACTCTGGGAAGTCTCATAGACTACTAGCGATCCTAGACGACCATGGACAAGCTGTCGTGCCTTTCTGAGTATAGTACTATCACTTTCAGTTACGCTTCCGTTGAATAGCGTGCCCGCGCGCTTATCCGCTTTGTCCGATACAAATATGGCCGCTCAAGTTCGTGCTTCTACCCTAGTTCCTCGCCAGCTCATCTTGCCTGGTGGTAAGCCCCTCCCTCCCTCCATCCCTCCATCCCTCTCATCATCTCCAGTCAGGACAACTGGAACCCTCGCTCCTGCCAACTGGAGACTCGTAAACTAGACCCCAACAACCACAGCCTGAAACTAGTGGGGGATGCACTCGAACTTTTTCGAACCATTGAAAAACCACTAGCCGTCCTCTCTATCTGTGGGCCATACCGTTCAGGCAAGTCTTACTTCATCTCTCGCGTGCTAGGCAGCCCTCATGGAGCCTTCAAGCTTGGCCACAGCATGCACGCCTGCACTCGAGGTATCTGGATGGCCACCACTATCCTAGCATGCCCAGATTTTGCCACAGTCTTGCTAGATGCCGTGGGAGCCTCTGAGACCATGGCCATGAGCTTGCTCGCCCTCACCATGCTCCTCAGCTCCTTCCTCATCTACAACTCCAAGAATGTGCCTAAAAAACTGGATCTGAGCAAGATGAGGTGTTTCTCCCAACTCTCGGCCTCCCTTCTTGCTCAGCGTAGGGATTCAATGTCGATCGATGCGAAGAAAGCTTTCTTCCCTCATTTTCTTTGGCTGCTGCGGGACGTGACTCTCACAATGACAGACACGGAAGGTAAGCAACTTGACCCAACTGAGTTTATTCACACTCGGCTCCTTGCGTCTGCATCGGGAGAGCTTACAGACCTGGGGAAGTCTCTAGTCGGCATTTCCCCCTCACTCGAATGTGCAACTCTCCCGCTCCCGTCAATCCGGTCGAATCTCGTTTGTGACATTTTCAACAACCAGGACAAGCTCAATCCAAAATTCAATAGCAAAGTCGATAAACTGATTCAGCAAATCCTCCTGAAAATCACTCCAAAGAAGGCTGTCGATGGCGCTGTAAGAGTGACTGGAAAGACTCTGGCTGCTCTAGCTGAATATTACATTGAGGACAAGCAACTGATCGAATCAAACTAAGTTGGATGCCTCCAGAGCACAATGCGGAAGCAGTCGAAGAGGATGTGGTGTACAAGAAAGATAAAGATGGAGAATGGAAAGAAGTGGCGAGGACAAAGAAAACTAAGGCCCTAGTGAAAGGACTGAAATCCATGACTACACACGAATTTCAAGTCGTAGCCACGAACAGCACCATAACAAGTCTTGCGAGTGGTGAAAGGTCGGAGTCTATATTCCCCACTGCATTAGTGTCAGCTGCCGGGGTTGGTGCTGGTGCTGCTACTGCACTCTTCCTGCCTTACGCAATAGGAGCTTCCTGTGAGGCATTCAAACAAAGAAAGTCGTATGGTGAAGACTCGGAATTATCCCAGTTTCAATCGGAGGTTTTGGTCAGCCTGAGCTTTGCAGCTCTTCCACTGAGCCTTGCTTTGACACCCATAACTGCACCTATATTTGCGCTTGCCACAGCAGCTCACTTCAAGGTTGAATTTGCTGATTATCAAGAGGGTGGTGATCTAACTGATGACTAATACATTTATTATTGTTGTAACTTGTTTAATTACAGTAGATGTTACATGTCCGAACACTCAGTTAATGTTAGCGCATCAAGTCCCATGCGGCTCAAAACCAGAACAATGCTAATGATAAAGAGCAAACCCTCGGCGAACTGCGCATGCGCTGTACCTCTATCGATGGGCTGGCCCGGCTGTCTGTGATCTTCCGCTAGTAGCTCGTGGAGGCTAGCTACAGTAGATAGCATGCGGGAGTCGATACACGCCCTTCGTTGTGACTTCTTGTGCCTCCGAGGTACACAGATAAAGCGGATCAGGTCGAGGTAAGCTAGTGCTAATTAGCAATTGGCTTGTTCACTTGGTTTTCACGCCATAACTTCTGAACGCGGCACTTTTGCCATTTTTGAAATCAAGCCAGTGTAGCGCTGAACCCGTTGGTGTCGCTATTTACCTGTTTGTTGCGCGTGGTGGTAGAAAACGTGGTAACAGACAGACAGACAGACGGACAAACCAACCCTCGCTGCGCATGCGCGCAGAGGGTTAATAATAGCCGGGTGGGTGAGGGTATACATTATTTAGTTATGTCACACACAACACAAGCGACTATTGGATGCTTTATACTTTTACGGGCATGAACTACATCTAAAGATTAGCAGAACCTGGTGCGACTATCTAAACTACCCGACACATAACACACACATAGATGTATTTTCGTTGGATGTGTGATTGTTCCCCCAAGGGGATACAATACTGTGGCAACCCGTGGAAAGGGTGAAGTAAGCTCCGGTCCGCCTTCCAAAAGAAAAATTGTAATATATATCGAGTGGGCAGTGCCTGCATACCAGATACTCCAAAAATCAATTTTCAAAATGGCAGGACATGCCGCCAATTGCTAATGTGCTTGGGTTGCCGCCAACCCCTGTCCCTCAGCCTTTCGGCTGAGATAGTGATGAGAGTTGATGTGACTTTCAAAGGTTTGGGAGAAGAAGTCAGCCTCGTCCTCAACAGGATCTAAGGGCAAGAACCGGAGAGATGGTGTCTGATACCCAGAGAAGGGTGGAACAATTTTACCCAATCTCCAAGGCTCTGAGGATGGAGAGATTGTTGGTATCCCAAGAGCCCAAGCATCCCACCACTAGCACCAGAACAGAAGTCTTGAGGCCCAGGAATATTATAAGTAATGAGTTCCAAGGGCGACCAAAACATTATCAAACAATGGGCTTAGCTGTGCTTAAAATCGACAAATAATCAGGCCTAGAAATTTTACCACGAATCTCTGGGTTTTTGTTAGGCCCATCGATAACAACCTTCTCATGTGCACAAGTCAAGTGATGCATAGCACGTTTACTGTTAGCTCAGTGTGGGGTATGTGATGTCCAGAGCTGCAGCTAATATTTAGTTTATTTTTGCCTTGCGTATACTTTTTGTTACTTTTGCTACAAACTACACTGTTTACCTGTCAGTTGTTAAACAAACACAATCCTATAGCTAAGCATTACATAAGAGGGAGCACAAATCACAAACAAAGTCGAACAAAGAGACAGTCATGATGTTGGTGGTGGTCTTTTCTCTCAGTTTCCTCTGGTCCCTGGTGGAGGTCAACTCTCAGCTGACCTTTCCTTATGTCTCCTTCATGGGCCAGACTCGGGCCAACCACTCCTATGTGAACTTTAGCCTAATAGGGAGAACTGAAATTGAGAGTGTTCATTGTCACACTGACCTGAGCACATGCTGCAGAAATGAGCAGGGTATGCATCGTGGTGACTGGTACTTCCCTAATGGAAACCGACTGCCATTTAATAAAGCTAATGATATTCACCAGCATCGTGACTATTGGAGAGTTGATCTACGTCGTAGGAATGCCACCTCACCATCTGGCATGTATCATTGTGACATTGCAACTGTTGAGCTCCATGATAACACAACTACTCAATTGACTCGAAGTAGGGTGTATGTTGGATTGTATGCCAATGGAGGTTTGTTTCAACCACAATTATTAAAGCACATGTTTTTTCTCATCTATATACAGGAGATGTGTCTATATCTGGTGGTGTTACACTGACTGTACACTTTGATGGGTTCAGTCCTCAGTTTACCCTCAGCTGTATCTCCACTGGTGGACCTGCTACCACTGTCATGTGGACCAGAGATTCCACCACTGTCACCCATGGAACTGAGACTGTTTTAGTCAATGCAACCACGGCAGAGTACATCCATACACTGAATGTGACTGGAAGAATGGAAGGAAGGTACACATGTACTGTGGCTAACAACAAACCATCAAACGGATCAGCATGCCGTGATTGTGAGGCTACATGCAAATTTACTTAAATTTGTTGGTGATTCTTTTGTGTTCTTTCCCAGTTCCTGGCCAGCCAATAATAGTTCTCGTGGGAAAATCTACCAACTCTCTTAACTTTACTTGGAATGTATCAAACACCACAGATGATAGTACCTGTACAGTTGAATGGGAGAAGATAGGCTGTTTAGCTGAAAATCGAGATAACATTGGCTCTATTACCACCAATGATACAAGTTACAGTATAACAGGACTAGAGGAGGGCAGTAGGTACAACATTACTGTAACTGCAGGGGGACAGAGTAACACTGTATCAGCTGTGACTACATTGAAAGGTTAATGCTAGAGAATTACGTTATGCTATTACCAAAGGTGTGTGTTTATTTTTTACAGCTCCATCTGCTGCTCCAAATGTGACTCAGACTTTAGCGACTTCTTACTCTATCACTATCAATTGGGAGTTGGCGCCTTGTGAAGATATTACTGGCTACTCAGTGAGATATGGAGAGATGGGAACCAACACGATAGACACGACTGTGCTGAATATTACTGGAGCCAGTGTAACTAAGGCTACTATCTCTAACCTGACCCTATCTACTAACTACACAATTCAAGTTGCAGCAGTCAACAGAGCTGGTACTGGAGTGTTCGGTAATGCCACTATCGTAATGACTGTCGAAAAAAGTAAGTTTTTAGCGACCTAGTTTTTAAAATAAATATATGCGCTGGCCTATAATTATTATACCTGCCTTCAGGTGTACATCTCACCTTTAGACAAAAAATAATACCTGACTGTGGCTATGTTATACTGGATGATATTGGCCACACTGATGACACTGCTCTACTCTGTCATACCAACTACCCTCCTCCTCACGGCCATCAAACCTCTGGAGGAGACTGGTTTGCTCCAAATGGAACAAGAGTGGGTGGTGACAATGGGCCTAGTGATCTAGGGTTTGTGAGAAATAGAGGTCCTCATGTGGTGAGACTGAAGAGATCAACTGCTGGTACTCCATTTGAGGGGACATACAGGTGTGTGGTTCAGGACCACACAAAGAAAAATCAAACAGTTTATGTAGGAATCTATGCTTTAAACGGTATGTGATACAATGTGCTTCACTTAAACTTATGATCCTGCAACAATTTTCTGTCACCTTCTCTTCTCCCAATGCAGCTGGAAACTCTGTCATTCCTACCAGCTCTATGCTTAAGTACAGTGAAATCACAAAATCTACTGCCTTTTCAGGGAGGAGTCATGGAAAAACATTAAACACAGCCTACTCTTCTACCTTCACTGAGAGATCTACTTTTTGTGGCTTACCTCCAACCCAAACTGTTGTCTACACCTCTCCAGCTTCAACCCTCTCTACTTCTAGCTGCGGGCGAATGTTCTCCAGACTGACCCCAACTCCATCCAACTTCTCAAGACCTACCCTAACTCCATCCATCTTTTCCAGACCTACCCCAACTCCATCCATATTCTCTAAGCCAACTCCAACCCCTAATCTTGGGTTCATATATTATACTTCCGTTGTTAATAATAATGCAACTATAAATTATGTATAATACGCTCCACAGGTCTACTGGTGATGGCTGGTTGTCTACTATGGCTATAACAATTGGAGTTACTGTAGCAACTCTAATTATAGTATCTCTCAGTGTAATTTGTCTGCTTTGTCTCAAAGGTTACAAAAAATTTTTTTTCAAAACACAGCAACAATTCTGAACGTTCTTTTCTATTAAACAGGTAGTAAAGATCGAGGCACAAGTATCCACACTTCAACCAATGAGGCATATGGGGAGGTGAGGGGGAAAGGAGGAATTGCAGTCAACAGCATCCCAACCTCAACCAATGAGGCATATGGGAGGGTGAGGGAGAGGGGAGGGGTCCGTTTTACAACCTCTACCAATGAGGCAGCTGGAGAAGGAGAAGGATACGAACTGGTGAATTTCCCTTGCAGAGAATCACCTCTTCTTCCATCTGGTAAACTAGAGGATTGTATGAAGCTCCCTTTTCCTCTGATTTCTCCTTCTCCACATTTCATCCCCCTAGGTGCAGAGGAGGACGCTGTATATGAGGTCATTTCTGGAGACCAGTGACTCCACTCGTGTGCTTTTGTGCATGTAGCTTATGATTATAATTATTATACAGTTTGTGATAGTTCCCTTTAATTACAATCATTCAAGTATAATTATACAGTGGCAAAAATCTATGAAATCTTCCCCACGTCACAAGAGGTTAAAAATAAGTGTAGCTACACTCATGTTGTTAGTTTCTTCAGAGGTAGCTAACTCAAGCTTCCACCACACCTATCTCTCTCTATTTAATGTGTGTGGTCAGGTGATTTACTTTTGCCTTGAGTACTTTTGCTAAAACAAACAATCTGCATAGGTAATCATCACATAAAACAACAGTATGTGGCTAGCTAAAAGTAAAGTATGTCATGATCGATGCTGGTGGAGTTTGCTGGTTGGCAGCTTCAATATCATTACTCAGCTGATTTTCATTAATGATGACATAAAGTATTTAGCTACTTACATTTTCATTTCAATATGTAAATACGTTTTCCTCATAATAATTATTATGGTGATGAATTGTGGGGATTGATGATTGTGACCCTCGTTGCTATCACCCAGATTACTCTCCAAGTAAAAAAATAAGCATGAACTGCTTTCTGTATTCTTTTTGCTTCGTGTTTTTTCCTTAGTTAGGCTAACATAATCAGAGCGTCGGTAGACGCTCTATATAGGGATGACACGAGTGAAATCTCACGTGATCCGCGTACAAAACGCCTCAAAACTCAGCGAGAATGACTCACCATGGCTTCAAAATCACTAGCAATAGTCTAGAGGCCAATACCTAGCTATACATATGCCCCAAGACTTCCTACGTGCCCTCAGTTCCCCACCAGAGAATTCGCACTTACGCGATTTCGCGATTTCCGTGTCATCATAATAATAATAATATTCTTCATCTTCTTCTTCGTCAAACCCGCTAGCTCCTTACCGGAAGCAGTTGAAGCGTTGGTTTTTTCACAGAACGTCTCCAAATTTTCCGGAGGTGTGCACGCATATCAAGCGATCGCTTGTTTCTTGCCGCAAGTCACTACGGTAGATCGTTGAGCTCTTCCTCGGTAGTCACTGAACAACGCCATTTGTTGCTAACTCAGCATCAGTGAGCCGCATGCGCCGAGGAGGGCGTTTCCAATGCGGCGCGCGCGCATTTTGTCTCGTAAACCTGGTCCACGAACGAGACTAAGCCAGGACTGGATGCCTTCAGAGAAAACTACTCTCATCCTTCGGTGCCTTCTGTAAGTCAGTGTGCACATTTGTAAGTGGCTAGCTTGCGTTTTGCTGTTGATTTGCACGAGGAGAAACTTGGCAATCTGCGCCGTGTTACGCGTGCCTTGCCAGGCGCCTTCATTCTTTGTCCCCCAGGTTATAGCTATCATTGTAGTCTGATTACTGAAGCCTGCCTATGAAACCACCCCACCATATGTGCCACAATCTAATTGCATCCTTGTTGGTCTTTGGAGGGGGGACACTGTAAAAACACCACCATTTTTTTTTACACCCCTTTTGCTTCAGGTAGGAAGGGGGGGCAAAAAAGGGGGCCCCATTAAGCTTTTTCCTGGCCCCTTTTCCCCCCCAAAAAAAAAAACCCAAAGGTTCTCTTTTTTTAAAAAATCTTTTTTTTTCTAAAACCCCCAAAAAAAACCCCCACCCCCCCATTTGGGGGAAAAACAATTTCAGAGTTTGGACTGGGGGGGGAAAAAAATGCTAGTTTTGTCATAAGGCGTGAATCTCTCTCC